CACTTCGCCAATCCATCTTCTTGGAGGTCTTCCTCTCTTTCTTTGTTTCTCCAAGTTACCAAACATGATATCCTTCTCCAGTGACTGGTCCCTCCTGACAATATGTCCTTAGTATAAGAGACGAAGTTTGGCCATCTTGGTCTCTAAGGAGCACTCTGGCTGCACATCTTCCAAAATGAATCTTTGCTCTTCAACACTTTAAAAAGGTCTTGTGCAGCAGATTTGCCTAATACAATACGCTGTTTGATTTCTTGACTGCTGCTTCCGTGAGTGTTGAAAATTATAAACCATACAGTTAATTTGATTTTATTTATATAAACACATATTATCTCATAAAACATTGAAGAATAAAGTGAAGATAAAATACTTGACCCGAAATATGTCAACTGTCTTAAAAAACCAAAATACAGCTCTTAAAATCAAGAGATATAATACGATACACATTTAAATTTTATCAACTGAATTGACAATGTCATTTATACCTAATCTCTCCCCACCCCCCATTCCAGAATTTAATACATGATCAAGCATTGTATGTAGTTGTTATGCCATTTTTGTCCTATAAACTGAAACAGTTCGTTAGCCTTTCCATGTGTTTTTTGACACTTGAAATATTTTATGAACATAGGTCAGTAAATGTGCAGAATACGCTTCATCTTGGTTTTCCTAGTATTTTCTTATGATTCGATTTATTCATTTTTGGCAAAAGTATGTATCACATATGTCATTCTCAGTGCACCAGATGAGGAAAAGTTTCAGTTGTTGCTCATATTAGTGGTAGTATCATTGATAAAGAAGTTACAGTGGTATACATTCTATTTTCCCATGGAAAATACAATAACTTTCGTTTTCCAAATGATTTGTGGGGAGAGAACGAGCCTATATAAATCAGCTCTCAAACTTCAGTATTCATTAATGACTTTCTAACTTAATTACAAACCACAAAGTAGACAGTTCAAACCTACCAGTTGCTCCAGGGAGGCTATGAGTCATAATCAACTCTATTGCACTTAACAATAACAAATTAATTAGTTGGTATTCTACTATGAAGAAGAGCTTTCTCTTTTACCATAATAATTCATTCAATCTAATCAGTATGATTTAGAAATTCTTGTATTATTCTTTGGGTAATGACCAATTACGATGAATTTTTATTTTAATCCTTAAATTACACCAGATTTGACTAATGGAAGTCCCTTCAATCTGGTTCCAGTGTCCTTTTGAAAAGTCCTGCAATTACCTTGATACTTCTTAATTTATGGCATGAGTGACGGAAATACTTTATATCCTCTGAACAAAGAGTTAGTTACAAAAGCTATGCATTTGTAAAATCTTATCAAATTGATGGCTTAAAATGTTTTTATATATGCAAAATTTACCTTAAAAACAAAAGAAAAAACTGGGGAAAATGTGAATTCTGCCTACTACACTTGTTGCTATTGTTAACTGTCAGCAAGTCATTTCCCACTCATAGCAATGCTGTACAGGGTTTCCAAGGCTGTGAATCTTCTTGGTAGCAGAAAGCCTCATCTTTCTCCCATGGAGTAGCTGGTGGGCTCGAACTCTGTTTACAAGTCAGAGCTTATCCTAAGAAGCCATTGTGCAGACTCGTTGTTGTTAGGTGCCATCAAGTCGGTACTAACTAATAATGATCCTATGCACAACAGAACAAAACACTGCACGGTCCTGCACCAACCTCACAATCATTGCTGTGTTTGAACCTATTTCTGCTGCTTCTGTGCCAATCTGTCTCATTGAGGTTCTTCCTTTTTTTCTCTGACCCTCCACTTTACTCATAGTTACCAGGTACAAAGTTTCCAAGGAGCAGTTGGTAGGCTGAACTATAGACCTTGCAGTTCAAACTGACCTTGAGGTCTAGTGCTGATCCTGTAGCACCATATCATTTGACATACTAATTTGACACAGAGCATTTATGATAACAGCAAAAACTCTACTAACTGCTTTTTGGCACATTAATGATGTAGCTCTGGCTGTAACCCCAAGGAGCAAGTCGAGAGTAATGCCGATTATGATGGCTAAAGTTATGCATCAACTTGGCAAGGCTATGATTCATAGTAGTTTGGCAGTTGCATAATGATAAAAGATGACAGTTATACAATCATGTAGTGTTGGGGACCGCAAATCACTGAGATGTTGAGGCCCTGTGTCATGGAAAAAAATCCAACATGAAGGCCCTGCTCAGGATTGCCAGCCAGGGACCCTGAGGGCCAAGGAAGTGTCCTCCTGACGTCCCAGGTTCATTGGCTTTTGTGAACTCACTGTTGGGCTACTTTTGTATAATTTTCTCCGGTCTTATTATTCATTCTATGCTTCTAACTCCAGTAATTGTAGCTTCTGAGAAAATGGTTTCTTATGTGCCTCTCTTAATGTCTCCACTGTGCTGGCAGTGCGTAGGGTCCTGGGAACAAATCTCTCTGAGGAAAAACTCTGGCCACCTGGCAAGCATGTCTAAACTGTTCTTTATAAAATTATTCAGTTATGTTTGATATTAACTTAATACATGAGCCCTTGATACCCATGAACAAATATTAAAACAAAAGCCTCTTCTAAAGCCGAGGCTGTAAAAGTTCCAAAGGCAAGTTTGCTGGGATTCCGCAAGGAGGCTCTGGAGACAATCTGCCCAAGGAATTCACTCAAAGTACATTGGCGAATTCCAGAGTATTGTTCAAGGAATAATAGGGACAACCTCCTTAAATCGTCCCCAGGTGCAAACCATTAACCTAGGCATCCTTCTTCCTCCTGCAAGCCTAAGCCAGGTAGCTGAAACAGCTTGACTCTCTTCAGACCTTTTGAAATCCTTTTCACCTTTACCCATTCGAGATTAAGTGCTATAGGTATGTTAATTAGCCTTGAGAAACCTCGAGTCGTTGCCTTAGGATTTGAATCTAAACAGTAACTTATAACAATTTGCTTGAATTTCTGGAAAATTAAGGATGTTAGATTATTAAGACAATTTGAGATGTATATTTTAGAATTTGTTCCTGTAAATCATTGTGTCCTGTTTTAAACGATTAATCACATTTCATTTCTGTATTCTGTTTTATTAATCCCCTTCTTCCTTTGTGTAAAATCCCTCCCTGAAATAAAAGACGGACACAGATCGAAACCTGCATGCATTACTGCCTGCGAGGCCATGATGCCTGCGGTCCAGGGTCTGCCTGCCAGTCTTGCATCCACTCTAGTTTCGGGGTGTCTCTTTGTCTCTCTCGTTGCGTCTTTGTGTATGTTCTTCCTTTATCTCTTTCGCCGCCAGATCTCCCTACTTCGTGAACCAAACTTCCCTGTTGAAGCTGGTCCCCAACAATGTAGCCATCTTCTCCTTGTGATCTGATGAGGACATCCTCCATTTTTGCATAATGCCAGTTTTTGCATAGCCACCTGGACTTTGATACCCGATCATGTCAGTAAGTAAGGAGTGGATGTTATTAAGTGCTGTCAAGTTGGTTCCAACTCACAACGACCCTGTACAGAGTTTCTGAGGCTATAAATCTTCATTGGAGCAGTAGGCCTCATCTTTCTCCTATGAAGTTGCTGGTGGATTCGAACCACTGACTCAGTGGCTAGACGTCCAGTTCTTGGAGTCCTAGGATGGCACTGTAGGATAAAGCCCTGGACCAAAAGGTTGATTTAATCTATAAGGTTTGTGGTACAAACTCACCAGTCCCTCAGAAATCCCATACAGGGTCGATATGAATCAGCACTGACTGCACAGCACTTAAAAACAAGTCCAGTCCTTATCCCCAGCATCACAGTGCTCCCCAGTTGTCTTCTGAGTGCCTTCCAACCTAAGGACTCATCTTCTGGAGCAGTATCTGAAAATATTCTGGTGCTCTTCATCATGTTTCAATACCCAATATTCTGGTGCTGGCAATGTTCCACTGCTATCCATAAGGTTTTCAGTGATTAAATATTCAGAAGTAGTCTGTTTTTCCTTCTTCCTAGCATGTCTTCATCTGGAGGCTCAGCTGAAACCTGTCCACCGTGGGTGACCCTGTTAGTGTTTAAAATACCTATGGCATAGTTTCCAGAATCACAGCAACATGCAATCCACCACAGAAAACAAACTGACAGACGAGTAGTAGTAGCAACAATAGGTATTTATATAAATCAATACAATGTCCATGCCATGAACAAACTTAAATCCATGCACCATTCACTAAATACTAAAATTTAGCTTAAAATTTAGGATATTATCATGAATATCCTCTCATTGATTTCACAAAAACAACTATGGTATATGATCCAGTTTGGGGAAAAGAAAACAGAAGCTACTTGAGGATGTCAATCTAACTATAGCACCATGAAAAGAAAGTGCTTTAGTATGGAGATGCAACATTAAAGTACTTCATTATGAATTCAACTCCACTTCGCAATGCTGTTGTCAATTGCCATCATGTTGGTTCTGACCCATAGCAACGCTGTATAGGATTTCCAAGGAATGGCTGGTGAGCTTGAACTGCCAACCTCGTGGTTCAAACTGAGTTTGTAGTCTAGCGTACTAGTCCACAGCACCACACCAGGACTCCACTTATCAATAGTTTAACTCAAAATCAGATGACGTGATCATCTACATGAGATACTAGTAGGATAATGAGTCCACTCAGTATATGCTTTTTTCTAGAAGATCATCTCAGAATAAAGTAAATGAGGCTGGTGTTCTTGATTCTTCTAATGCTAAAAATTTTTTTCATTTTCTAATGTTACTCCAACTACCAAGCTTTTTTAAGAAAAGGTAAAGAATTGTTTAAAAACAAAAACAAAACACTCAAATATTAAAATTTGGACCATTTCTTACTAGCATCTAATTTTCTGTGTCTTTGTTTTTCTCTTACTTTCTCAGATCTTCTTCCTTCATTAGGTTTTGATGCTACTTTATATGAAAGATCACAGAAATGAAACCTTGAGTCTTGAAAATTTACTGCATTTAAAGTTGAAACTGAAGCATATCACAAACAATTCAGCATTTTAAAAGTTCTTACCACAATCATTTCTGAAGGCTCCAATACAAGGCAATCACATCCTCTTTTTCCTCCAAACTGCTTACCAAAACTAAAAAAAAAAAAAAATTTCTTTAGTAAAAACTAAAAATTAAAAACATCAATATAGGGAAACAACAAAAACCTAGATGTTAACCAAGTATTCTTATCCTGTAACTTAAAAATCTTTTCTTTTTTTTTTTTATTTAAATGGTAATTTTAATTGATCACCTATAACTGATCAATAAAATTCTATATGAAAATTCTTTTTAAATATTTGTCTTCAATGGTCCCTAAAAACAGTTATAACAGATATGTGACTAATCTCAAATTTTGAACATTTTGTCAGTATTTGTTTAAATTAAGGAAGTAAGTAACATTTTATAGAAATAAATTCTTATTATATATTAAGAACTTTACATATGCTTATATTCAAGCATATAAAGACATGTATAATGAGATAAAAATTACTTATAACAACAGCAACAAAGTTAGAGCCACTAGCTAGTTCTTAAGGAAAAAAATCAAAGCTGGATCAGTACTGAAAAAAAAAAGTGTGTATTTTTATATTCTTGGATAGGAAAAAGATTTCTAAGCAAATAAAAAAGAGCAATTACCAAGAAAAAGTATGAGTCACTTTAATTTTTAAATTGTTAACTGAATAAAAAAATGGAAAAAGTATTCACCTATCGTACAAAAAACAAATGGTTAACACACTTAACATGCAGAATGAACACCAAAGCAATTTTAAAACAACCAAAAATATTACAAGAAATGACATTTTACTATCACGGCTAATTATAAAGTACATTATATAAACATTATTTTTAAAATAATCAAATACTAAAAAAGTTGTGCTGATAACATAAACAAAATAAAAAATATCAAAAAACAAACTTAATACAAAAGTCATTAATAAATAAGGATAATTTTATTGGTGGACTGAAAATAAAGTTTGAATAAAGCAAGTGACATAGCAAGCATCTTTATGGAGAGGCTCAATATTAAAATAATGTCAATTTTTGACAACATGTTATGGTTAAATATAAATACAAATATGTTAAAATATCTTAATCATGTAAAACTACTTTTTAACAAAGAAAATTAACATTTTTGCTTTTCTTTTTTAAAATGCGCTGAGCATTTCATTTTGTGTTTTCCCAAACTCACACATCAATCAATAAATAAAAGACTTAAAAGTCACTTTGAAAACTTTCACTTTTATTCCAGAGGGAATAACATAAACTACGCTTATCCTCTTACCTGAAAAAACAAACTACAAAACTAGATAAAAATATAAAACAAGAGTTTCAAGACATTTAAAATTCAGATGAGAGGGTTTTAAAACTCAGATGAGAGAGAGAGCAAAAAGACCAAGATGGCTCCTACAATATTTCAAACATATATTTCTACACAACAGTACTAGAAGAGAGAAGCCTAACAGTGTAATGCAATCTCACTGAGTTGAAGAGACAGAGAGTGATGGAGAAGCCTAGAACAGGCACAGCAGAGTACCAGAAAGAGGCAAGAAGCTACACACGCATACACAAAGAGTATGTGTACATGCTCTGGAAATCTTCCAAAAGTTCCTGATGAGTCGGTTGATTACTGACATGAGAATATACGAGAGTAAACAAACCTGAAACTGGGGGGGAACAGGACACACTAGAAAGCATTTTCTATGACCTCGCACAAGGACAGAATTTAACTCCTGATTCTAAGAGTCAAAGTGGAAAGATCACATAATACATTAGGTATTAGAAATAGATTTTCTTAGTAATGCTTTTTTACTTCATCTTTCTTTACTACTCTCTAGTTTCTTGTTTTCATCTTCTCTCTCCCTGGTTTTGTATCGAGTTTTTTGGGGCTGTTTTTTCAATATTATTTCATTTCTTTTCCTCTTTTTTTTGTGTGTGATTCTCTTCTTGCCTCACAGAGAGGCAACAGAATCCGTGCCTACACAACCCAAACAGAACCGTACCATCTGCAGCTTTACCCATTAGTCAGGAGCCAATACTAACTCATACACCACTGAACATCAGCTAACACCAGTTGCACCTATCAAAAACTGAACTACACAAACGGTGAATAGAGAAATGGGTATATGCTTCCATTCTCAAATTATGCCTACCATGAGGCAGTTGATAAGAACCTAAGAATACTCAAATGCATCATCAATTAAATATAAACACAAGGACACTACAGTGTCTTAGAGAAAACACACAATTTCAGTTCACATGAGGAAACACAAGAGAATGGCGCAAACAAAGGTCTGAGATGTAGAGATAGAAAATGTTTCTGAGGACAAAAAGTTAATGGAATTTAGAAAGAAATCAGAAGAGCAATATTTAGGTACTTTAAACAGACTGAGAGACAGATCAAGGAGAGTGTAGGAAAAAGTTTACAAGAAATTAGAAAAACACCACAAGAACAAATAAAATAATTTGAAACTATAAAAAAAATCTGCAGAAAGAAATTCAGAAGATTAATTCTAAGATTTCAAAATGGACAATATAATACATTGAAAAGGAAAAGGAGTAGATTCAAAGCAATGGACATCCAAATTAGTGAGCTTAGAGATAAATCTTTCAATACTATCAAACTAAAAAGACAATCAGAGAAAAGAATGAAAACAAAGTCTAAGATTTATGTGGAATACCATGAAGAGGAACAACATATGTATTGTTGTTAAGTATTGTTGAGTCATTTCCAACTTACAGCAACCCTGTACTGGGTTTCTGAGGAGCAGCTGGTGGCTTTGAATTGCTGACCAGGAGTCAAACTTATATATGAGTGATTGGAATTCCTATTTTCAGTCTTGTGGGTTTGCTTCACTTTAAATACTTCTATTAATCTCAAATTGTTTTCCGCAGTTATTGTTTCTCAGCCTAAGAATATTCTTTAGTATTTTTCGTAACATTAGTTTGGTTTAAAAAATTTGCTTCCATTCTGTTTATCGGCAAATATCCTTATTTTTGTTGTTGTATTTGAGTGACAGCTTTGCTAGGCACATGATTCTTGATTGTTAGCCCCCCTATCCCTCTTCAGAGTTTCATATATGTTGTTCCAACAGTTTACTATTATGTATGGGTGAGAGGAATTTCAGAACAGATAGAGATAATAAAATGCACAGAGAAAAATGTTGAAGAGCTGCTGGAAGAAATCTTTTCTAACATCAGGAAAGAAGACAATGGAACGACATAGACAAACTCCCAGAAGGGGAGGAAAATTGCCAACTAAGAATCATATTCTCATCAAAGCTATCAGTCAAACACAACAAAATAAAAGACATTTAGATAAACAGAAATTGAAGCAAACTGTTATAACCAGACAAATTTTACAAAAAATACTAAAGAATATTCTTGGACTAGAAACAATAATGTTGTTGTTGTTAAGTGCCATGGAGTCAGTTCCAACCCATAGCAAGCCTGTATAGGATTTCCTAGGAGCAGCTGGTGAGCTTGAACCACCAACCCTGTGGTTCAAACTGACTTTACAGTCCAGTATATTAATCCATAGCGCCACAGAAATAACGTTGTGGTTGTTATGTGCCGTCGAGTCGGTTCTGACTCATAGTAACCCTGTAGTTGAAAGCAATTTGAGATTAACAGAAGTTTTAAAGTAAAGCAAACTCACAGACTGATATCGGGAACCAGACATTTAAATTTATAATGAAGACAACTACAAAGCAAATAATAAATGGAGTAATGTAGCTATAGGATGTCCAAAAGATGAGGAAGTCACGTAAATTTCAAGATAAAACAGTTTTAAACTGGGGAAGAAATCAGTAAATTACAGGGTAACCACAAAGAGAATTAATATACCTCCATATCAAAATAAATAACAAGAAAATGAAGATCTAGTAAGCATTAAAATAGCAAAGGAGAAAATGAAAATTAACAAGCAAAATGAACTCAGCGCAGAAAATTATGTGGAACAAAGAAATCAGCAGTACACCCCCCCAACACACACACACACAAAAAAAACAAAAAACAAAAAAAAACCCACAGAGCAAGACGTGGACTAGGCAAATGCACTTCATGGATCCTCTACAACAAACATTGCTATTGTAGTTGTTAAAGTGCTGTTGAGTCGGTTCCGACTCAGCGGCACTGCATAGGGTTTCCGAGGAGCAGCTATTGAGTCTGAACACCCAACCTTGCAGTTCACACCGACCTGTAGGTTGAGATAAGAGAAACCAAATGAAACAGACAATAGATGAAAATTCTGGAACCCTAAACTTAAGAGGAAAGGCTAGAGAAGTGCATTGAGTGCTTTCTGGGAGGAGTAACTGATCAGGGACAGTGAGAGATGGGAGACCTGACTGGTGAACTACTAGGCAAATGTGTTACCATCTTGAACTTTTGTGAGAAACTGTGCAACAGAAGGTAGACTACCAAAACAGATTGGCACAGGTGATGACAAAGGTGTAACTCCTTCTTCCCAATGCTCCCTTGGTGACTAGATATGTGGCCAGCTGTAGTGCATCTACCCCAGTGTAGACCATGCTCTTAGGGAGTTCAGATGCATGCATGTGGTTGAGTCTCACCAATGTGATGCGGGGGCTTCCTGTGCCACGTTGGTGCCTAGATTCAGGCAGACTCAGATCCAGACCTAAGGAACTCACAGACCCACCAGACCAACATTAGTCTAGCAGAAACCCTCATAATCAGTATTCTGCCACCAGCTGCCCTGTGATCCTAACAGACACTGAAACCAGCTCCATGAAGGGCCTCCACAAATTACTTTTGACTAACATAAACATAGATAACACCTGTTGTTTTCTTAGGTGCCATTGAGTCCGTACCGACTCATAGCAACCTTATGCACAGCAGAACAAAACACTGCCCGGTCCTGGGCCAACCTCGCTATTGTTGCCAAGCTTGATGCTGCCACTTTGCCAATCCATCTTGCTAAAATTCCATCTAGGGCCAGAATTCCACTAACACTTTCCTCCTTTAACCACCTCCTTGACCTCCTTGAGTGGCAGGATCCCCCAGAAATTTAGCTATTCTGGATTCAACAGCTGCAGTGAATTTCTCTGTTTTTGGTTTGAGATTTTTCCTTTCATGG